AACACAACGTGGTGCGATCATCCCCCTTGCGCGGAGTGAGGGTTCTCCACCCCGCACAACATGATCTACTCGACGACCATTACGGTTACCGCCAAAAAAGAACAGAGGTAAAAAACAACAACGGTCACCTGGTTGCCGAGCTCACGAAGTGAATTGGCTTGATTTACAAGGTCGTTGCCAAGCGACGAAAACCCAATCCCGATGGCAAACACCGAAGGGAAGGTGTGGGGGGGGTTCTCCTTGTTGCATGACCTAGCGGTAAGACCGTTCGCCACGCGTCCTCGAGAGGACGGAGCATCGTGGTGTGTATAGGGAGGGCTGGCCAAAAGACTGGTCTCGAAATTTTGTTCCTGCTCGAGTTGTCTCTTGAGCTACACGTATTCACACCCGCGTAGACCTGGTACAGTCTTTCGTTTATCCCCCTGGTGGAACACGCTGATGCGTCCTGCCTACTTGCCCGCCCCCCGCCACCGCTGTCTAATTTCCAACACGCTAAGTTTAGCCACCCTGTTGAGCATCACCGCGACAAATAAACGCCAACACAATACCAACGCCCACACCGCCACCTTGATCGCCGCCACCAACAACTAATACACATAACAGCAACGACGACGACGACGAAAACGGTGGTGTATACCGTACATGACCTAAGATAACACACCCCCTCGACCGATTTTCGAAGCTCGATTTGTCACCTACCAGAACTGTCACAACGCCGAAAACGGCGGCGTTGAAACCGTCTCGTGGAGAGCTTTTCGAAAATGTATCGTTTCGTTTGTGCATCCTCTTCGTCGTGGAGTAATCGAGCTTTGAAAAATCGATCCAGGGGGTGTGTTATCTTGTGTCATACACGGTACCTCTTACTCTTGTCACTCTTGAAACTCTTGAAACTCTTGTGGCTGGCAGGTCTCCTTCGCCACGGTGGTCCTAGGCCTGTCGAGGAGGGGCGACGCGCCGGCTGGCCGCATGGCCATCAAGCTCTACGAGTCGATGCGGCGAGACTTTAAGATCGTCCCAGACGAGGTATGACGGAACATGAAGCTCCCAAGCGACACGCGCACGTTATCCATGCATGTTTAATTTAATTTTTGCTCTCGTGTATGTATTTATATGTTTTGGCTTGCTGCATTAATGTAGTCTCAAATAATTTCCCGTAAATCACTCGCTGTTTTTTTCTCGCCGTTCTGCTCCTTCGTGTGCTGTTGTTGGATGCCCTTGTGTGTGCAGGGTATGGTGGACAACTTCATCATGGCGTGCTGCAACGCCCAGGCTGGGGAGATGGACGGCAGCGACCTGGCTCTGGCGCAGGGCCAGGAGGCTCTGAATGATCTCAGGGACCTAGGCTGGAACGAAGAGGTAATACACATACACGCATCAAATTGACGATTGTGAAGATCGTAATCGTACCGCCGCTATAGTACGCCGGAGAAGTATGGGAAGGAAATAAGAAGGTGGTGAAAGAACTGGAGGCGGCGCAGATGAAAGCAGCCCAAGCGCACAAGAAATGCAGTCGTCAGGGCAGAATTGGGGATCCAATCCCTACGGTCGGGAAGAGACCCGAGGAAGCTGACATGGCAGTATCGAATGTGCGGGATGGGGGAGGAGAGGTTGCCGAGAATTGTATGGGAGGCGAAGTGGGCAAACAAAAAGAGGGGTAGACAACCCACGGAATGGGTCAAGGTTGTAGAGGACGTATGGAAGGGGCTCGACATCGACGAAGATGAAACGCTGGAGACGGAGGGTCTAAAGGGGTCCAAGGAGAAGATATCTGTTGCTTGTGCCGAGAGAAGAACACAATTTGAGTAAAGAAACCAAGAATAAGGAGGGTCTTGAAGTGTACGGAATGTTGAAGGAAGGAATAGGTTTCAAGGATTACCTACATGGACCAATGGATGCAGGAACAAAGCTTCAGGTCAAATTCAGGACCGGGGACATAGGCCTTCGAGAACGTCGACGAATACGTAAGACGGTAGAAGACGAAGACGACGAGTTCAAATGTGATTGCAGCTTCGAATGCGAAGACAGTGTTCATGTAGTCGCGGAATGTCCGTGGTACAAGAACGAGAGGGAAGGGAGATGTTTGAGGCATGTAATAGAGAGGAAAGGACGGCAGCTGTACTGGGGCATAGGAGGTGGGTTGAAAAGGCGGGAAGGGATATCGTTAGGATAGACAGACTAGGGAAGAC